TCAACACCCATATACTTCATCAGAGAATGTCTTAGATCTTAGGTTCCTAACAGTAGAATCCTGCGCATTTCTTAGCCAATGCAGAAAAAACATCACGTCAAAACTATACAGGCAACATGGCACAAAGGATAAATTTGTTTCAGCCAAAGCTTATTGTAAATTTATGAGTTTAAGCAATCACCACAAATATCATTGTACCACACATCACTCAAATGCCAGTGATAGATCATCCACTGGGCAGGAACATGAAGGTAAGTTTCTCTTTTTTCCAACACGGGAAGTATAACCTGTTTCTTCTGGACTACACACTTAAAAGTTCACCCACTTTAATGGCTCCCAAAGATCATTTAGTCAGATGACTGGAAACTATCTTTTAACTCAAACAGTCATATTAGGAATAGATATATTTCTAATGATATATGCACAGTATGACATTATGCAGCATTTCTTGTAATATACTAATTTCTAAGGACTCACAGAACTTAACTTAGAATTGAAGAAGACCTCAGAGGTTATCCATTCTATCCCTTATCCAACATAGATGTTTTCCCTAAACCATATTCATGCCAGATGATAACTCATTGTCAAAGTGAATCACCTCATTATCCAGAGTTTATATCCTCTATAATCATCCATTCCATTTTTTAAATTACGGCTCCTATGAGCTAGCCATTTTTTCCCTAAATTGCACTCAAATGTTCCCTTGTAATTTTCAAGCATTTATCTTATCTTCCAGACATTAATCCTATACCACCCAGCTTAATCTAAGGTACTTATCACATTTTGAACAAAAACAATTATCTCTAAGATAAATATCTTGTCTTCTTTTCCCTTTTCTCATGATTACAGATGCTTCTGCATACTGGTTAGCCTCTTCCAATTATTTACCCTTCTCCTTATTAATAATACCCAGAAGAGAAGAGACTAAGTCATTTGCATTTTGACCAGTACAGCTTCCCATCAGAGTAACATTTTTTTCCTTTAAGGTGTTTTCTGCACTTTCCTTAATACAACTGCTCAAAAATAGTTTTGCCATGATAACAAAATTATTGGCTCACACTGAGTTTGAATAAAATAAAATCTTAAGAATTCCCAGGTGTCAGGATTCTTATATACTATTAATTTTAGTTGATTTTTGAAATGTAAAAGTTTCAGTGTGAAAGCTGGAGACAAGGAGGGATTATTAGTTGGAAAATATGGCCTTGGTGCTAGAAATGAAGTCAGAGATCACGTGATAGAATTTTGCAAGACCATGACTTATTCATTGCAAATACCCTTTTTTTAACAACATAAATGGCAACAATACACATGGACCTTACCACATGGAATACACAGGAATCAAATGAACTACATCTGTGGGAAGAGATGATGGATAAGCTCAATATCATCAGTCAGAACAAGGCCAGGGCCAACTGTGGAACAGACTATCAATTGCTCATATGTAAGTTCAAGCTGAAGCTGAAGAAAATTACAAGAGGTTCATGAGAGTTGAGTATGAACTTACGTATATCCCACCTGAATTTAGAGACCATCTTAAGAATACATTTGATGCATTGAACACTAATGACCAAAGACCAGATGAGTGGTGGGATGACATCAAGGACACTATAAATGAAGAAAGCAAAAGGTCATTAAAAAAATAGGAACGAAAGAAAAAAACAAAATGGATGTCCGAAGAGACTCTGAAACTTGCTCTTGAACGTCGAGTAGCTAAAGTGCATGGAGGAAATGATGAAGTAAAAGAGCCAAACAGAAGATCTCAAAGGGCAGCTCAAGAAGATAAAGTACTGCAATGAAATGTGCAAAGGCCTAGAGTTAGAACACCAAAAGGGAAGAACATGCTCAGCATTTCTCAAGCTGAAAGAACTGAAGAACAAATTCAAAGCTTGAGTTGCAATACTGAAGGATTCTATAGGCAAAATATCGAATGAGAGAGGAAGCATCTAAAGAAGTTGGAAGGAATAGAGAGTCACTGTACCAAAAAGAATTTGGCGACATTCAACAATTTCAGGAGGTAGCCTACGATCAAGAATTGATGGTACTGAAGAAAAACGTCCAAGCTACACTGAAAGCATTGGCAAAAAACAAGTCTCCAGGAATTGACAGAATACCAATTGAGATGTTTCAACAAATGGATGCAGTTCTGGAAGTACTCATCCATCTATGCTAAGAAATTTGAAAGACAGCTAGCTGGTCAAACAACTGGAAGAGATGCATATTTGTGCCCATTCCAAACAAAGGAGATCCATTGGAATGTGGAAATTATCAAACAATATCATTAATATCATAAGCAAGTAAAATTTTGCTGAAGATAATTTAAAAGCAGTTGTAGCAGTACATCAAGAGGGAACTGCCAGAAATTCAAGCCAGATTCAGAAGAGGATGTGGAACAAGAGCTATCGTTGCTGATGTCAGATAGATTTTCGCTGAAGTACTGAATACCAGAAAGATCTTTACCTGTGTTTTACTGACTATGCAAAGGCATTTGACTGTGTGGATCATAACAAGTTATGGATAATATGGCAAAGAATGGGAATTCCAGGACACTTAATTGTGCTCATGTGGAACATGTACATTGACCAAGAGGCAGTCATTTGAATAGAACAAGGGAATACTGCATTGTTTAAAATCAGGAAATGTATGCGTCAGGATTGTATCCTTTCACCATACTTCTTCAACCTGTATACTGAGAAAATAATCTGAGAAGCTGAACTATATGAAGAAGAATGTGGCATTAGGTTTGGAGGAAGACTCATTAACAACTTGTGATATGCAAATGATGCAACCTTGCTGAAAGCGAAGAGGACTTGAAGCATTTACTGTTGAAGATCACAGACTAGAGCCTTCAGTACAGATTATACCCCAACATAAGAAAATAAAAATCCTCACAACTGGACCAATAAGCAATATAGTGATAAATGGAAAAAATATTGAAGTTGTCAAGGATTTAATTTTACTTGGATGTATAATCAATGCCCACGGAAGCAGCAGTGAAGAAATTAAACAATGTATTGCATTTGGTAAATCTGCTGCAAAAGACCTCTTTAAAGCATTAAAAATCAAAGATGTTACTTTGAGGACTCAGGTGCACCTGACCTAAGCCATGGTATTTTCAATCGCCTCGTATACATGCAAAAGCTGGGCAATGAATAAGGAAGACTGAAGAATTGATGCCTCTGAATTATGGCGTTGGCAAAGAATACTGAACATACCGAGGACTGCCAGAAGAACCAACAAATCTGTCTTCGAAGTAAAGCCAAAATGCTCCTTAGAATCGAGGATGGCCACATTTCGTCTCATTTACTTTGGACGTGTTATCAGAAGGGACCAGTCACTGGAAAAGGACATCATGCTTGGTAGATGTTCATTACAAAAAAGGAAGAAGCTCAACAAGATGGACTGACACAGTGGCTACAATAATGGGCTCAAATATAGCAAAGATTGTGAGGATGGTGTGGGAGGGACTGGGCAGTGTTTAGTTCTGTTGTAGGTAGCGTTGCTATGAGTTGGAACAGACTTGAGGGTACCTACCAATAACAACAACAATAAGACTATATATTTTTTGCATTTAACCCATTATATGTTATGGCGTAGTTCTGGTTTAAAAATGCAGATTTTTGTGATATTTTAAAATATTTATTATATCATCTTTCATATTGACCAGCCCTTGCATATTTATATTATTTAAACTACAAGAGCCAAAGCATGACCCACTTGAATTTAGAGACCCCAACTGAATTTACAGACCATCTTTAAATTACACAGGCACTCTCAACATATTAATATCCAAGCCTGATAATAATATTGAATAAAGTACAGAGCCCTGTAACCCTTCACCAAAGATATAATTCATTGAGTAATAGTTAAATCAGCAAAGAAAACACCAAACATGCTATCGTGTAGTGTGAATTTCTTCACTCAAGAAAATGACAAGATCTTTTTTTTTTGCCAAATGCCTTGCTGAAGTAAAGATGTACTACCTCTAACCTTTCAAACAACTACTGAAATGAAGGCATAGATAGCAACACGCCATTCAAGTCTGACACGAAGCTGGGAGAGATATTTAAAACGCCGGACGATAGTGTCAAGATTTCAACAGACTGAGTGGTACTCAGTGCCCTAGAATTCTCCAACTGGGTAATGAGAGACATTTATGGCTTTAAAACACTCATTATGTGAAAGAACTGATTTAACATATGAACTATTTATTAATTTTTAAAAAATGTATTGTCTGCACTGCTACTGACAATAAAATAAATCTGAAATTTCAAAAAACTTATATTGTGACTTTATTTAAACAAAAGTAAATGTATAGTTATAAAACATGAAGTGTTGATTCCTTAAAACTGAACATCTCAGGATTCTTACTGGCATAAATATGGAAAACATGAAATACTCTGGGTTTCTAAAGAACATTCCAAATATATCTATTAATATGACTCATTATTTGTTAGAACACAAATTATTAAAATTGAAAGGCTTTGCACATAACTCTGAGTCTCATCCATTTTTCCATTTTAGATATTTTCCGAAACTTTTCCTACTGAACGTCTTCCCAAGCAATTCTCTCTTATTTTAATGGAAACTGTAGCCATAGTCCTATTTGATGTAAGGGGAACTGCAAGAGAAGCTTACTAAAAAGAACCTACCAAATATGTTTATGCAGGTTTTTAAGATTTAAACTCAAACTTCATCAGAAGCTGCTGCATCAGTTCCATAAGCTTCGTAAGAACTAAACCAAAGACAAACAGAACGCATCATTTCCCAGTTGCACCGTGCAGACTGTGATAAGCAAGGCCACGATGTATATGCTGAAATAAGTGATCAAAATGTCATATGAATTCTTTTCTGTCACTGGATCAAAGGGGAAGGAAAGGAATTGCAGTGATTTCAATACCTGCCGTGCTCGAACTGCATGAAGAAAACATGATTCAGAGCTCATGAGACTTGCATCCTAGGATATACTTAAAGGACAAAGGGGCAAGTACAGAGAGTCTTACGTTCTTGAAAGGACGTGAAGAGCATTTGAAAGCGGCTGTTTCGACTGCCTTCATCTGCCCACATGCGGATCACCCCAAGACCGGTGCGTAGCATCACGTCGTTGGCCACCGTACTGCAGAACTTGGCTTTCAAGTCCTCCACGGAGCTGCTGCCGTCGTACACAGCCACAAAGTTCCTTTTGCATTCATTTGAGTTCTGCATCTCATAGTCCAAGAAGCGTAAGTAGATCTGCAAGACAACAACAAAGGTAAAACGATTTCCCCAAATCAAAATGTGAACATGGCAGTAAGTACTGTACTTCTTTTTCTTTTTAGGGCTCAGAAGGCAGTCTTGATTGCAATCAGCCTCATTAATTTTTTCCTGGGTGGACAGCAGGGTGTAATCACATACAAGCATGGAAAAACTTAGGCTTAACTTTTTTTTTCCCCTAATGTTATTAACCTTTCTTTATTTCAGTGTATCATTTCCCATACTATCCTTATGTCTTCTCTTATTTGGAGTCAGTTATTCGTTTTGCAAACATATCCACTTTTAAAACTTTTGATCAGCACACATGTGTTATGTATTTCTGACACATTCCTGTAAGTTTCCATGACTTCCATTTACTTCCAAAAGTGTGTGGAAATAAATAATTTGTATTAATGCAAAAGAAAAACAAAAATGGCATCCAGCGGGCAGTCTGTAGTTTCTGTTTGGTCCCTTATTTCACATTTTGAGGTCAAATGTATTAAAATAAGAGCAGAGAAAGTCAAAGACCATTCTCCCCATAGCACAGTGTCATGTTATTGAGGTAAGTCCATAAAAAGAAAATTAAATTAACATTTAATGACTACAAGGTACAGTGCAACTTACTTTCTATGTTATTTTTTAATACTACTAACAACTCCATAAAGTAGCTCATTTTATTGTCATATGCAGATGAGGATACTCAGACTCAGAAAAATGGTATAAATAGGAAATCACACCTCAAGTCCCTCTAACTCCCTACTCCGTAATCCTTCCAAGATATGACACTAATTCAGACATATTGTTTTATAATCAACAGACATTATTTGACTTTGTACCAATGTACTTTCAAAGCTACATGCAACTGATTCAAACAAAAGATAAGTCTGTAAAAGAGCCGCATGTCCACTCATCCATCCATTCAGCGATATCTAAGGTTTCTTACTTTGTCCCAGGTACCAGTGATACAATGGAGAATCAAAGGGAATGAGGGCCAGTGCTGAAAATAAGTGTCAGTTAAATCATGACACGAAGACATAATGTCAAACTGTGAGCGGTGATATGAACTAAAAAAAAAAAAAAAAAAAAAAGACATGTTCTATGAGAGGGTATCCAGAAAGGTTCTGAAATAAAGAGAGCACTTGTCATACATATATCTCCTAAGTGCCTTTTTTTTTTTTTTACTCTAAATGTCTATGTGCTATTTTCACTTTTACTCAGTTTTTTTTTTTGTAAAACAGGCATTCGTTTTTAAAGTCATCTTTCTTCATCACTCTACAAGCAACTTCCTTATTTATTTCATAAACTCTGACTCGCTTAAGAAAAATTTTACCCAGATACTGCATCTGCCCTAAAATTTAAATTTTACTATTTCAATTTAAAAAGCCTTCTCTCTTGCCCTAAATATTCTTATTGAATTGGGTATCAATTTTTGTCATTATTTTTCTTCCAAATAGTTGTTTTTCATCTCCACTCGCACTTCTATGATGTTTCAACAGTCTCCCAACTGGATTGGACTGGGTGTTTCTAATGTCCTAAATCTCCAGTCCCTGCCTACAGCCCAGCACAGACAAAGCTGTATGTCTTAGAAACAAGCCTAATGATCACACTCCTTTAGCTTAAATTTTTAACTGGCTTCCAAGTAGTTGTAATAAAAATTTTAAAACCTTCAGCTGAAAAATTTCCCCTCTTCTTATCTCTCAGCCTTACACATTTATTCAAAATGCCATACTTTTTTGCATATGGCTTTAGTTCTACATGGAACAACCACCCTCCATTTTCTTTCTAGTAACTTCCTTCTGATTATTCAAGGTTTAATTCAATTGTGACACATTCAGTGAACAATTCTCACTGGTCCTCCATCCCAACCATAGCAGAATTATTTTCTACACCCTCTGTGCTAACATATCATCTCAAACATTTTAAGCTTTGGTTGCAGGTTACATATCCCTTGTACTAAATGCTGTGTTTCCAAAAAGCTAGGGCAGTGATGTGCATTTTTGTATTCTAAGATTCAGTGGTGTTTTACACACAGAATGCAATCCAGAGAAGTTTGTGAAAGGATGTATCTGTGAATAACTAAATGAAAATGTTCTTTATGACTTCTTTTGTTCAGCATTTATCAAATTTTTGTTAGATACATATGTGCCAGACAAGAGTCCCCGGGTGGTACAAACAGTTAATGAACTCGGCTGCTAAACGAAAGGTTGACGGTTTGACTCCACCCAGAAGTGCCTTGGAGGAAAGGCCTGGTGATCTACTTCTGAAAAATCAGCCACTGAAAACCCTGTGGGGCACAGTTCTACTCTGACACATCTGAGGTCACCATGAGTTGACTCAACAGCAACTGGTTTTATAAACAGACATTATTTTAAGTACTAAAAACATAATAATTACATATAATAATTTAAATTTTATTATCTACAGGAAGAAATTATACGCAATATTTCTCAAAACAAGGTATCTGTGATAGAGATTTTAACAGTGACATAAAAGCATAAGACAGTATGTTATACACTTGTAAGATGCAGCGAGTGAAAATAAAACAAGAATTCCCAAGTGAGGAAATTCTCATATAACTTTGAGGAGGAAGGATAAAATCAGAAAAACGTGGGGAAATTAACCAAATGAAAAACAATGGAAAGCACTTAAGTTTTATTATGCTTTGTGTGATAAAAAGTTTTCATGTACATAGGCAATCTGTAACACTACAGCTGGAAGCTATTCTAAAATTTCTAAAACTTTGATGCATACTTTAAATTCACCACCATTGATTGCTACAGCCTTAGGAAATCTATGCCCTAAGAAAACCTGCATTTTTTCATGTCCAGATTATCGCTTTATTTTAGTCCATGAAAAGCTCAGATGTTACTCACGTAGTCAATCTGTGATCTAGTTTTCCCGACAAAATCTGATATTTCTGAAATTATTCAGATAACTAAAAAATGTCCACTTTACGAAGACATATCTGAAAATGTTAAACCTTCTACATTTTTACTAACTCCTTTGCCTTTTCATATCTACATGCTTTTGTAAAAAAAAAGAAAAAAAGAAAATAAAAGGCCTTTCAGATGACCTACAATAAGAAGCTAGAGCAAAGGAGACAACGTGCTCGAAGAAAATAAAGCAACCACGTTAAGGAGTCTGAAAAGGGATTCAAATCCCTAATGCCAACTACAAGGATCTTCTCACAATTCCACATCGCCCCCTCCTGACACAAAAGAAACAAATTGAAAGCACAATATAGAAGTCCCTCAGAGGCACAAAAAGGAGCCCTGATGGCACAGTGGTTAAGCATTTAGCTGCTAACCCAAGGGTTGGCAATTCGAACCCACCAGTCGCTCAGCTCTGCTCGAAAAAGATAGGGCAGTTTGCTTCCATAAGGATTACAGTCTTGGAAATCCTATGGGGCAGTTCTACTCTGTTCTATACGGTCCCTCTGAGTCAGAATTGACTCAACAGCAACTACTAGCAACAACACCAACATAAAAAAATATGAATTCAAGACAAATGGTACAGAATTGAGAATCCAGATGTAAATTCATCCACCTCTGAGCAGCTGATGACTGACAAAGGCCCAAAGTCCGTTAAATGGGGAAAAGATAGTCTCTTTAACAAACGGTGCTGGCATAACTGGATATCCATCTGCAAAAAAATGAAACAAAACCCATACCTTACATCATGTACAAAAACTAACTCAAAATGGATCAAAGATTTAAATATAAAATCTAAAACGATAAAGATCATGGAAGAAAAAATAGAGACAATGCTAGGAGCCCAAATACATGGCGTAACAGAATACAAACTATAACTAACAATGCACAAACACCAGAAGAGAAATTAGACAACTGGGAGCTCCTAAAAATCAAAAATTCATGCTCATCAAAAGATTTCACCAAAAATTCTGGAGAAGCCAGCACAACTTGTACAAGGCAAGGTCATGGAAGCTCCATAGACAAATCCAAACTCCCTGAAGGACTGAAATGCAAGGCTGAGGGCTGTGGGGACCATGGTCTCGGGGAACATCTAGCTCAACTGGCATAACATAGTTTATAAAGAAAATGTTCTACATTCTTCCTTGGTGAGTAGAGTCTGGAGTCTTAAAAGCCTGTTATCAGCCATATAAGATACTCCACTGGTCTCACCCCTTCGGGAACAAGGGAAAATGAAGAAAACTAATGATACAAGGGAAAGATTAGTACAAACGACTAATGGACCACAACTACCACAGCCTCCAACAGACTGAGTCCAGTACAACAAGATGGTGACTGGGCTACCACTACTGACTGTTCTGACAGGAATCACAATAGAGGGTCCTAGACGGAGCTGGAGAAAAACGTAGAACAAAATTCTAACTCACAAAAAAAGACCAGACTTACTGGCCTGACAGAGACTGGAGAATCCCTGAGAATGTGGCCCCTGGACAACCTTTAAACTCACTAATGAAGTCACTCTCGAGGTTCAACCTTCAGCCAAAGATTAGACAGGCCCATAAAACAAATCGAGACTAACACAGCACATCAGCCCAGGGGCAAGGACTAGAAGGTAGGAGAGGACAGGAAAGTTGGTAATAGAGAACCCAACATCGATAAGGGAGACTGTTGACATGTCATGGAGTTGTTAACCAATGTCATAAAACAATATGTGTACTAACTGTTCAATGAGAAGCTAGTTTGTTCTGTAAACCTTCATCTGAAGTACAAAAAAAAAATAAAAATAAAAAAAAGACTTCACCAAAAGAGTTAAAAGACAACCTACAGACTGGGGAAAAACTTTTAGCTATGACCTAACCGGAAAGGGTCTAATCTCTAAAATCTAAGATATTGCAACAACTCAACAACAAAAAGACCAGTAACCCAATTAAAAAAATGGGCAAAGGATATGAAGAAACACTTCACCAAAGAAGACATTCAGGTGGATAACACATGAGGAAATGCTCAGAATCATTAGCCATCAGATAAATGCAAATCAAAACTACAGTGAGATACCATCTCACCCCAACA